GCAAATAAGACAATTTCGCAGACCAAACGGATGTCACAAATTGTTTAGTCTAGATGAATTAATCCTTATTACAAGTGGTATATTTATTACTCGGGATAAATGTATTACTCATAGTATTGTATTAAATCATCTAAACTATTTAAAATGTGAGACTCGTTTGGTCTCACTTATTTTAAAAATTAAAATGTTACTTTTAAAAATTAGAGGGGTTATATTCATATTTAAATTATTTTTTTTAAACTATAAAATCATTCACTTTTTCAAATCACGAAAGAAAAAAATAAAATAAAATAAAACTGCCGACAGTTATGCAATGCTTCTTCACTTTCTCTGGAAAAATTGAACTGTTTTATTCAATATTTACCCTGTTTAATTATCGGATCAAATAATATTTTGCCTTATCCAAACATGGTCCATGTATGTAGTTTTCTACGCGCCTGATATCTTATATCTGTAACTGCTTGTTCCAATTAACCCAACCCAATACCATCTATGGCTGATGATGAATGAATGAATTTAGCTATCCTCAGCATAATTTAATTATGCAATGTGCTGTAGATATATTCTATTTAGTAGATAACGGAGAAACGAATCATTATTTCTTGAACCAATACTTGCTCGAGAATAATTTCGCCAATATCATTTTTTTTTTCATTTTTTACTTATCGAATGTCATCTTCCAACTGGTTGCTGACTAGCATACGTCTGCAGCTCTGCAGGAAGCTGTTTGTGATGACAACAATGGTCGCCTTGAGATTGTTGGACTCTATAATAGAGTAAGCAATAGTGTTTTTTTTTTTCAATTGTTTGTTGTCGTTAGGGGTGGGGGGGTGGGGCGTGCCCAATTGTTACGTATTTACATATCATTCAAATTTCGTAACGTCACATCAAAAAATACTATCATTATTATCTTTATTAAACATGAAAGTCATGTTTTCATGTATAGGCTTTTGACACCAATATTTTATAAATGTAAATACATAAGAATTATGTGGTATGTTGTTATTATTTTTTTTTATTGAGTAATACAGTTTGAAAATTTGCCCCTGCTTCTCTTCCCGTTTGTCATAGCAAATAAACATTCATTAGTTTTTCGTTTCAGTTGTGCGGGGTGATAGAATCCACCACGCCTGATGCTCTCCAGGCTTATTCTGGCAACATTTCTGCTGCTTCAATTTTAAACAAAAGTCTCCAACAGCTTGAAATCATATATGAAGATGTGCATCGAATTCTTGCTGCATTCGATCGAGATACTGCCAATGAAAACTTGGATGTTAAATCGGTGAAGGGCAGCGAGACGAGTAATGGAAGTTTGCTGAGCACGACTCAGAGCGAACCCAAACCCACGCCGCTTCCAAAGGCAGAAAACATTCATTCCGAAGTTGATAAAGTGGAAGCCATTCATAACTCCAACAGCTCTATACAAGAAGGGAGCAGCAACCCTCAAACTTCAGTTCCTCCATCTTCATCGGCTGACACGGATGTTGAGAAGAAGGATGGCGATGTAGGAGATGCATAGCTGATTTAGTATTTGTAGATGATTTCTACAAATTCATTAATGAATCTGTTGCTTGAGGTAAATTCAAGCAATTCTCCCTGCAACTTACTAAGTCTAGCATTTCATTGGAACACTTCGGCTGGTATTCATTACTGTTGAATGATAAGGGAAAGATTTATAATATGTTTCTCATTTGGTTAGCTTGATATGGGATACATTTATAGTTAACAAGGAAATGCAAATATTGCTTTTTTTTATAATATTAATATGGCTCGTTAATAGAGATTAACAAATGGATGGCTTAGTAATAAAACTATTGAAGTTAACTGCTATCATGCCTTCTGATTCAGCTATTTGCTTTGATTAACAACTTATATTAATGATCATCCGGTGTAATTTCTTGAAAACATATACCAATTAACTTATGATATCTTATAAAATTAATATTTTTATCATCTTTTATTATAAAATTTATTTATTTCCGTGTAATGTTATAGTAATAGAAATTTAATAAAAGAAAAAAAAAACTAAAATTTAATTATAAGTTAAAAGCACTAGTTCCCTCAAAGATCAGAACTTACAATAAAAGTTCAACTCTTATTTTTTCGTTTTTGTAAAAATTTCAATAATTTAAATGTAGCATGCATAATCACACGTTTCATGATATATATATATATATATATAGGACCTCGAAGACCTAGAATTACAAACAGGTTTATTTATGACTCTATTTTTCTCAATATATATATATATAGAGAGAGAGAGAGAGAGAGAGAGAGAGAGAGAGTAGTTTTATAAATAATTTATAAATAAAAAAGTTAAATATCATAAAATTGTAATATTTAGTTGAGAATTCAATCATAAATATGGGAGAATATCCATTTTATAAATAATCAATTTTAAGGGGCCTTTACATGAAAACCAAAATTTTTATATATATTTAGCTGATGAAAGTTAAACATTTATATTTAAATGTTGATCCAAATCATTAATATTACATCAAGTATGTCACTATTTTCACGTTTAAGGTAAAATTCATATTTTCTTGCAGACTAAAATACTATAAATATAAATATTAAAGTTTGGGTATCAGGCGTTAAAATACATGAAATAGTGGGGCGTATATGTAAATTTCCTAATTGCCCTAAAATGTACTAATCCAAGAAATTTGCTTGCCTGCGTCCGAGAGGAGAAAACGAGAGGGGGTTGGTAAAGTCCAGTGTGGTGGGTAAAATGCTCCAGTTCCCTCCGTTCATGCGGCAGTTCCCTTCGCCGCCTCTCATCCCTTCATCCACACTGCTTCCATTGCTGGCATCCTCTCACAATGATGAGCTGCTACTCGCCATGGAGGAATCTGAGCTCGAAGATCGGGTACTTCTTTTTTCCTTTTTACCGGCAGACCATTGGTCTTATGTTGCAGATGAAGCAAGATTTCCCATCTTATTTCTTTTCTCCAAACCTGTGTTTAATACTTTTTTTTAAAAAAATTTCCCCATTGGATTCGCGGTTGTGTCGCTTCCGTGGACATGGTGTCTTTTCTAGGCTAAGTTCTTTATATATATATATAAGATTTTCCCAAAAAAAGAAATACTTTTAAAATTTTTTGAAATTACCGGCTTGTTACTTATTTCCAGTTTTCTCAATCATATGTTATTTCCTTTCGTGAGCACATACAATCCGATAAACAACTTATATCTCAAAGATAAAATGATAGAGGGTGAGGGAGGGAGGGAGGGAGACAGATGTTTGTGAGTCATTAGAAGGAAACTTAGAGAATGTATTGAGTTCTTGTTTCCAGTAAGGCGGAGAAATCTGACATGTCGGAGTTTTCTTTATTTAAAAGATTTTAGAGCGAGAGAGAGAGGAAGAGATTCCCCAGGACAAAAATCTCCTTTAATTTTCTTTTGGCTTCCCTTTTATACACAGGAGAAAAATAATAAAATAATAAATTAGACACATTTCATATTGTATGACGCTATTCTTAGTGTCTTAATGAAAAAACTATGATGTGGGGTGTCAAACAGTGCTGGTATGACACTCATTCCTGTTGTCTGGAAGAAAAAATTGAGTTGTAAATGTCGGGTAGTACTTTTAATGATGAATTGGCTGATCTTGTTATTAGTCATGATGACCTTTTTCAATAGTTTCCCTCGCACAAGTGGGCTAGAATATTTTTGCGAGAGGAATATATACGACAATTTCAATAGATGGATTCGATTCAACCTCGTCGACAGGTGGGCTCAATTCAACCACTTCGATGAGTGAGCTCAATTTATCCACATTGGCAGGTGGGTTTGATTTAACTACTTCAGCAGGTAGGCTCGATTCAGGAATTCAACAGCTAAACAATTCAACAATGTGTCAGCTTCACAATTCAACAATTTTCTAGTTGAACAATTCAACAATTCGCTAGCTGGACAATTCAGTAATTTGCCAGCTAGGCAGTTTGGAAGGCTTTTTTAGATGTATGCATTTAATTCTCTGATTCTCTTATCTCTTTATAGATAACTGTAAAAAGAAAAAAAATAGAATGAAAAATATAAACCTAGATGTTGCTCGTCCTTATAAGAGAAGTGTATACTTCATTTATCCAAAAAACGAATTCGTTGATACGAAATAAAACTATTTTGATAAAATGAGTGTTTTATTTCACTATGCACTGAATATTCATCTATTTGGAGTTCTTAGCACTCATACAGAGAATCATCCTAGGCCCACTTTGGCTGCACCTACAAGATTCCCTCCCAGGGTATTATGAGTCACCTTCATATACTTTATAGTTGACTCAATAGTCTTATAGGAAGAGTTTCTCGACTATTATCAGTGAAAATTAAGTTGTGCTTTTTTTATGTGACTAGATGTATTGTTTCCGTGTAATATAACTTTGTTATAAATGAATTAAGCAAGAGGAATATATACGACAATTTCAATAGATGGATTCGATTCAACCTCGTTAACAGGTGGCCTCAATTCAACCACTTCGACGAGTGAGTTCAATTTATCCACATAGGCAGGTGGGTTTGATTTAACTACTTCAGCAGGTAGGCTCGATTCCGGAATTCAACAGCTAAACAATTCAACAATGTGTCAGCTTCACAATTCAACAATTTTCTAGTTGAACAATTCAACAATTCGCTAGCTGGACAATTCAGTAATTTGCCAGCTAGGCAGTTTGGAAGGCTTTTTTAGATGTATGCATTTAATTCTCTGATTCTCTTATCTCTTTATAGATAACTGTAAAAAGAAAAAAAATAGAATGAAAAATATAAACCTAGATGTTGCTCGTCCTTATAAGAGAAGCGTATACTTTATTTATCCAAAAAACGAATTCGTTGATACGAAATAAAACTATTTTGATAAAATGAGTGTTTTATTTCACTATGCACTGAATATTCATCTATTTGGAGTTCTTAGCACTCATACAGGGAATCATCCTAGGCCCATTTTGGCTACACCTACAAAATTCCCTCCTATGGTATTATGACTCACCTTCATATACTTTATAGTTGACTCAATAGTCTTATAGGAAGAGTTTCTCGACTATTATCAATGAAAATTAAGTTGTACTTTTTTTATGTGACTAGATGTACTGTTTCCGTTTCCGTGTATTATAACTTTGTTATAAATGAATTAAGCAAGAGGAATATATACGCCAATTTCAATAGATGGATTCGATTCAACCTCGTCGACAGGTGGACTCAATTCAACCACTTCGACGAGTGAGCTCAATTTATCCACATAGGCAGGTGGGTTTGATTTAACTACTTCAGCAGGTAAGCTCGATTCAGGAATTCAACAGCTAAACAATTCAACAATGTGTCAGCTTCACAATTCAACAATTTTCTAGTTGAACAATTCAACAATTCGCTAGCTGGACAATTCAGTAATTTGCCAGCTAGGCAGTTTGGAAGGCTTTTTTAGATGTATGCATTTAATTCTCTGATTCTCTTATCTCTTTATAGATAACTGTAAAAAGAAAAAAAGTAGAATGAAAAATATAAACCTAGATGTTGCTCGTCCTTATAAGAGAAGTGTATACTTCATTTATCCAAAAAACGAATTCGTTGATACGAAATAAAACTATTTTGATAAAATGAGTGTTTTATTTCACTATGCACTGAATATTCATCTATTTGGAGTTCTTAGCACTCATACATGGAATCATCCCACCTACAAGATTCCCTCCTAGGGTATTATGACTCACCTTCATATACTTTATAGTTGACTTAATAGTCTTATAGGAAGAGTTTCTCGAGTATTATCAGTGAAAATTAAGTTGTACTTTTTTTATGTGACTAGATGTACTGTTTCCGTGTAATATAACTTTGTTATAAATGAATTAAAATAGTTTTGTTAAACTCGGAGTATCCTTCGCCTAGGGGCGCTTTGACTACACCTACAGAGAATAGTCATCGTAAATTTTCAAATTTATCTATAGCAAGATCTCGTGGCCTTTAATCTCTAAGTTAGTTGAGTTCACCCGTTTTTCAAACTCTATTTCGACAAACTTTTTTCCAAAGTCATTCCTAGCATTTGACTATTGAGCACAGTATGGTCTAAAAGTTTGGAGAGGGAACCTTAGAGATAGTAGAATTTAAAAGATGCAAAAATAAAAGATTTAAGGATAGAATTTCTTATCTCATCTGGTGAAGATTCATCTAGTGTGATATTTATTGTCTCTTTGAAGATGTTTATGCGTGACTTCAAATTTAAAGCAGGCGTCCACGCTCACTTCACCTTTCAAGATATTAAATCTTTTTGAGATATAGGGTCTCGTATTGTTCGTGAGTGCATACAACTCGGTAAAGTCATTGTATCACAGAGAGAGAGAGAGATGGTTGCGAGTTTTGAGAGGGAACCTCAGAGAATGTTTTGAGTCCTTATCTTGGGTGAACTGTAAAAGTCTATTTCGTCAGAGATTCTCAGATTTATAAGATTTTAGAGAGAGAGTGAGAGAGAAAAATAAGGATTTCCCTGAAAGAAAGCTCCTTCAATCTCCTTTTGACTTCCCCTTTATGCACAAGAGAAAAAAGTAATAAAATAATAAATGAGACATTTTGTATTGTACGGTGTTCTTGTCTGGTGTCTGGATGAGAATACTGTGATGTTGGTATTAGACGGCGCTTGTATGCCGTCCATGGCTGGTGTCTGAATGAAAAGACAGTTTTAAATATCAGGTAACACTTTTAATGATGGATTGACAGATGATTATTACTAATCATGATGACCTTCTCCGATAATTGCCTTGCACAAGCAGGCTAGACCATTTTTTTGAGGGGAATGGATGCAACCATTTCGACAGATGGGCTTGAATTAGATACATCAGTATGTGGGCTCGATTCAACCACTTTGTTAGGTGAGCTCGATTCATCAATTCACCAGGTAGGAAATTTAGCAATTCGCTAGCTGGATAATTCAGCAACTCACCAGTCCGTTTTAGGTTTATACAATTGCTTTTTTTGACACCGACACGGTTGATGAAGGGAAACTACTCTATATTTTAATCTATTACCATGTGGAGTGTTTATACATGTAGCTTTTTGAATCACAGGATGACAATTTTCATTATTCAATTTTTTTTTCTCTATTATAATCAATTTCATTCAATCTTGATCGAAAAAATCAGTCAGCTAACTTTAATTTTTATTCTCGGATATTTGTGAAAGTGGGAGTGATTAAAACCCCTTATAAGAGGAAAATCCTATCCCTAAAGCCTTCTTTATCGAAAAGCCTTGTCTCGATCGGGAAGAAATAATTTTTTTTACTTTTATTGAGCGCCTGATTTTGTTCCCAATGAGCAATATGTAAATCATCTCAAACTTATGCCATGCATACCTTATCTAGACAATAAATGGATTCTGTATCTTTTGAGTTCAAGGCCTGCACTTATTCACATTAACACTACTCATATTTTTTTATTATTAGGCTCCGTTTGGGAGGGCTTTTTAGGCGCTGCGCGGTCGTTAGCCGCAATTATTCGCAAAAGTTTTTCGTTTGGTTTGCGGCTTCGGGAATTAGATTGGCGGAAGCGGGCCGCAACATTAACCCCGCGGCCCCGCTTTTGCCCGAGATTTTTACTCTTTACCCTTTTCTCGCCTCTGCCCTAGGTTCTTCCCCGCTGCTTCCCTCGCGTCCCCTTCCCCTTCTTCTTTCGTCGTCCCTCGATCGACAGAGCTCAGGTAAAGACGAGTCATTTTCTTCATGTATTTTCGGATCTAAGATGAAGGATGTGCGTTTTTGCGTCTCCTGATGTTTTCTCCTCCTCATCTCTTTCCTGTTTCTGCCATTTTTTTTTGTTTTTCCTTTCCTGTGGTGTAGCTTAACGAAGAATGGTTTTAGCTAGATATTTTGGCACTCGAAAAATTACTTCA